TAAAAATAAGTCTTTCAAGTACTGCCAGCCTTAGTGTTGGTTGTCAGTATGGGAAACCGAGCGTATGACTAAAATTGTCAAACTGAACAGCAAGTGGTCTGGAATGTTAATTGGGTTAGTGTTTGGCCTCTCCTTCTTCTTATGATGTGTATAATCAGCTATCTGTTGCAAATGGCAGCTTGATTTGATTTAAATTGATATGAGAGTGTAAAGTGTCTTGTTGGTCTGTTATAATGAAGCTGGTTAAGGATTGTTTTAGGTCTTTAATCTATTGTCACAGTCCTGACTGTATGCAAGTCTGAATGCTTGTGGTGGATTTGGCTTGCTTCTTGGACGATTCATTATTTTCTGTCTTCTGGTTACAGTGTAATGGCACTGACAAAGTGTTTAGGTCAAGAGCTGTAATTGGCTTTATGCACGAGACTATCCATTATACAACTCTCTAACCACAGTATTTACTGCTTTCTAGGCAGTAAAACTGAAATCCTCACTGAGACAGAGGAAAAAAAAGATGTATACACACAAACAGGTCAGCTCAGTTATGCTGGTGGATGGCTTTGTGGATAAGCCTCTTGAAATGAAAAAGCTAAACGTGCCCTCAAAACTTTGATTAATTTCAGACTAAAATTAAATGACAGCTGCAAATTAATAATTATGTTGTTGTTCAGAATACAGCATTTATTTAACTTGCTTCAAACTACTATTTATTAGAGCAATTTATGTAATGAGCAATTTATGTCTAATCTCTTGGGTTAGGATTAGCAATTTTTAATCATAAATATTTTACGTACTGAACCAAGTGAAAAGTGTTTGACTCACAGCTAGCAACATGAAATTTCAATTTAACTTCAGGGAGATTTGAAGTTGATATGCTTAAACGACACTCATTTGTAGGTACCATTCTGCACTGTGAAGGAATTACAAACACACTTAAGCTCTAGCTAGCAGGTATACCATGTTTCTATTCCCATTCTCCTATTTTCCTTTCTTTTGTAATCCACATCTCCCTGATATGTGATGATCCTTTCCCCCTCAACAGGTTAGTAGGTCAGAACACTCATCACATCAGAGTGCACCCATTCTGTGCAGTTGTGTATGCACACACAAACACACACACACAGATGTCTGGTCTGATTACAGGTGACCTATATTGCTCTCTGTGATTCAGGGTGATGCTGTGATTTTCAGCACTCTCACAGAAAACAACTTCCTCTTGTCTTTTTTCAAGCACAAAATGATGAATTGCCCAAACTCTTACATATATATATTTGAACCAGAAAAGACTGAACATCTGTCTAAGTGTTTTGTCAAGCTTTGTTGAATCTGACAGGTTTTATAAAACTGAACCTAGATAACTACACAAACATGATTGTGTCACATGATAATCTGATAATTAAGACCTATTTAAAACATTGTTTATTATTTTTAATGCACTGATATAAATCTCTTTCTAGCTTAGCAAAACAACACCTTTCTTGCATTTTCTTTTGCAATTGCTCAGCCAAGTAAAATGTGGCTTTCCTGCAGAGTTCTTTGTGGACCTAACCTCCTCATCCTAACTTCAGTAATACTTAAACAAACAAGTTATTGCCATCTAATATCTTGTTCGCAGCAGGGAGTAGGCAGAGGAGAGGGAGATTTTGCATGAGGGATTATGTATCCGGGGAGAAGCAAAGCAATTCTTTCTTCCTGTTTAGGCTGTTGTCATATCATATTAGCTCTTTAAGAAATAAAAATATTGACTCACTCTCCTTTTAAAAATGGCTTTTTTTTTTAAAAAAAAAGCTCTCTCAGTTATCTCTAGAAAATTCCTGCAGTAAAGTAAGCAAACAAAACCTCTTATTGACACATACAGCGATGCTAAACTTCAACACTAGACACCAGCAGGTCCAGAGCAACATATCGTTCCAGAGAGAGTAGTGGTTCCACTGAGTTGAGCCTGTCTCTTTAAGAAAGGGGGGCTTTTAAGGTAGGGTAACCAGTACTTGGTTTTCAGGTACAGTAAAGGCTACTTGAGAAGCAGGCATGCTTCTCATTGAACACTTGCTTTGGTTTCTACTTTGGAAGAATCTTGCAAAAGTTATGTAATGAACCTGGAAGACAAACACTGCTTGTTTACACTGCAGACACTAAGCAATATACCCTTCAGGCTTCAGTCTGTCTTTAGTTGTTACTGGGTTAGTCACCCAAAATAATGAAGCACCATACACTGAATATGAATATTTGAAAGATGCCAAAGTTCTTTATGGGGCTGCAAAGTCTGGTGTATAATTAATTGTTTGTGCATTTGGTAAAAATTGTTGTTTTAATTGGTGTTTAATAGTCTGAGCATGTGGTTATAGCCACAGTGGAATACAGACCACTGCTGTTAATCAGTTTCTAGCAGAGTGCAGAATAAAAGGCTAATTTGTTATGTTTACTTCCACTGTGCAAAAATTTGTTTACACATAAAAATGTCTTTGTTATTGAGTTGATGTAGGCATTATGCATTATGCAAAGCTAAATATATACATTGCACAGTAAGTTCTCAAAGCTATCCCTAGTGAGGTGTATGTCTTATACAGATTACAATAATGCTGCATTTGCATGGCTATGAAACACAATATGGTTTGTGTGTGTGTGTCTGTTTATTTCTTATATTTGGCTGATATTGGAAGTACATCTATTTTGACACTGCTCACTCAAACTGAACAGTTGATTGAATGTTTTACAGCCAGCACTCATATCATAGAGGCCCTGTTTACCCAGCGCATTCTTCCACCCACCTCAGCTGTCAGCAGACCAGCCGCACTGGTATAACTTTACACTCAGCTGACTGATGGCAAAATGAAACTGCCCATTTACTGCTCTCCTCCCTTCTCTTATTCATGTAGTTACACTGTTGAGGTGGATCATTTTCCTCAGCACACCCCTTCTCTTGTCCTCTTTGGCCTGTCAACTTCTGTTAAGGATAGCAAGTAACTGAAACTGTCTGAAAATGTGACAGTGTGGTTACAGGCCTCCAGCTCCTGTTTCTAAAAAATGCTGAATAATGATTTTCAAATGGGAAATTTTTGTTTTGACTTTGTTTCAAACTGACTAGGGTTGGCATTCACTTAGCTTTAGCATCACTTTGGGTTCTTGGCTAGCTTAGCTTTAGCATGCTATCTGTGCAGATACTTGCAAACAGCTAAAGTTGTGTTAACAGCATAATGCAGTTGTTTCTGTCCTGGATGTTGTTTCCACTTTACCATCCCACTATTGATCTTTTGCGCAGTAAAAATAAAAGTAATGTCTTTATCGACACTATAAACTGCACCACTATTTTGCCCCTACTTTCTAGTAGTTAAATTACTGCATTACTAAAAAAATGTAATGTGATAACAATAAGTGTTACTTATATAAGTAAGTGGTACTTATTAAGTAACCTCTACAAGCTCTCTTCCACAAGCTCTCTACTCTTACTGTAGATCACAATGTCATCCGCAAACATCAAAGTCCATAGAGACTACTGACTGACCTCATTTGTCAACCTCTCCATCACCACTGCAAACAAGAAGGGGCTCAGAGCAGATCCCTGCTGTAACCACAGCCCTACCTTGAACCCTTATGTCATTCCTACCACAAACCTCATCACTGCCTTGCCTACATGTCCTGCTCCACCCTCACATGCTTCTCCCCCAGTCCTGGCTTCTTCATGCAGTACCACTTTCTCCAAGACATCTTAATTTCTAGGGGAGAAAGCCTGTATGTCATGCTGACTTAATGCCTTTTGCAGCTATTGTGTTATAGTTGAAGACAGAGCTTTTTTATTTATTGTTTATATTAATTACTTTTTTAGATTGACACTGTTGTTTTTCTTTTGTTTTTGTGTTTTTTGTGGACAAGTGTAACAACAGTCTGTGTCTTTTGTTTAAACATGTTCCTCATCAAAAGTAATTTCTCTCTTACGGTGTCAAATTGCTGAACTGCTCTTTCTGGCTCTTTTGTATTTCCTCTGCCTGATAAGAATTTCAGCAAAACTGTTTATACCTCATATGGATATGGATGTTTGGCTATTTACACAGCTTTGTATACTTGATTCTTCTAATATCAAGGCTGAGAAATAAAAGCCTTGTAGCATTTTTCCATACGGTCCGTCTCACATGTATTATTACCCTGTTGCTGTTCATCATATCTTTTTTCACTGATTTAGGGGATAATAAAATGTTAAATTTAATAAAATTAAACTGAAACCAGTTGTTGAATCAGTGTCTTTGAGGCACATTTGTACTGTTCCATCCATAAAATCATAAATATTCTAATAACAACTAGATGAAGTGTGAAATGCTGTAAAATGTAAAAAAGCAAAGCTAAGAAGGGGTAAGCATTTTTTACATTCATTACATCTTCTATCCAGTTGCACTCACAGTTACGCTATGTTGTATTTGCAACTAACAGTAAATCTACAGCCATACATTTTTGTTGACTGGAGAGCCTCTTTTCAGCCACAACATCAACAGCATATACCTAATATTGTCTTGGAAACACTTTGGTAAGAGGCTGCAGATCTTTTGGGCTGACTTTGCCCTGACTTTGTGTTAAACTAATCCTAAAGTAATAATGGTATTTCTAACTACTGATATACCACAACTTTATCCTTTCAACAGCTGCTGAAAGTTAGGGAACCTAGCTGCTATCGGATATTTATATAGAGATCCTCCAGCTTCAAACTGTATCACCCTTCAAGGACCTGCAGTTCAAAAAAGCACCCCTCCGACAGCCAAACCCATCTGTCCTCTGATTGGATTGTTACATTTGTGATTGACATGACATTCACCAATCAGATGAAAGGACGAAAAATAGGGTCAAAGTTCGTACTTGTAACTTGTAGGGGTTTTTTTTGGCTAAGTCCACACACAAATTCTTTTTACACATACAAATCTTTTTTACACACACACACACACACACACAAATTCTTTTTACACATACAAATCCTGATTTACAAGTATAAAACTGATTTACAAGTACAAAATATTTATGACCACATTTTGAGCCCATAAAAATGTCCTTGTCTTTGGGAAGTGTAGTTACCTTGGGAGTAGACTGGACAGAGGTACCTGTTCTGGAGTTTGGTGCGTGATACATTGAAAACATACACAGGTATGATGGGACCCAAGGCTTTAAAACTGAAGACTTTATCATATTGAGACAATAAATGTTACTCAATTCACTTGTCTGTTGGTTTTTAATGTTGTGGCTTATTAGTGTAAATGCAACATCAAAGTGTTCAGGGCTCTAAAATATCACTAATTCTACTTCTTTTTAGACAGCAGCTGCAACAGCTACTGCATATCCTGCCCCATAAGATTAAACCCAGCCGAGATGCTGCAACACGGCTGGATGAAAAGATGTAAAGACACACTACAGTACTTTTTTGCCATCTGTTTTGCTAATACATTATACTTATGCATTTATTTATGGATTCCTGGTGTGGAATGTATGAGACATATTCCTGTGCTCTTTAGTTACCATGCAGGATTTTACTTTTTACTTATTGGTGCTGTCTTTGAGCTCGAGTCTTAAATTTATATCTTGGGTTAGTTGGCTGCATTCTGTGACTTTGCTGATTCAGGAAGACAGAACACAGTGACCTGGCACATGGTTGGTGTAACTCTTTGGCTCTTAATTTTGCTCCATGAAGGCTTATAGTTGTGACACTTTTGTTGTGTCCGCAAATAATACTGAGTTGAAGTGTTTTGTTTGCTAAAGTTGTAATCTATTCTGTTCATTATATCTGCAATTAAAAACATGAAAAATAGATGTTTAGACAAATTAGACTAAATTAGACAAAATGTGTTTGGATGAACCAGAGTAAGTCAGTTCCTACTGTCTTCAGTGCATCTATCAGACTGAAAAACACAAGGACGGGAGCTAGAAGAAAATAATGATGAGGAAAACAAATCCACAGAGGATTTACTAGAACAACTGGAAGTAAGCAACAGATGCTTTACTTATTCCAAGTTAAAGGGACAGGGATGAGATCATGTTATAAAAAATGAGTTTGTCAAAGTCTGAAAAGGATTCTGCATTTATTAAGAGGCTGCCTTGTATTACAAATAAAATTGTTTTTAAAATCTCAATCTGGCTTGGTAATGTCACAGTGTTGTGTGTGGAATGTAGATGGACTTAGATGCAGACCACTGCAGGCAAAACTTTAGACAAAAAGTGAGCCATGAGCAAAAAACACAAACACAACACACTGGGACACATCGCTGGGCTGATGTGTCGATATAATTCTATTTTATTATCATAATTATTTTCTTTTTGACACTATAATTATGCTGGCCATGGGCCAAGTTGAAGGGCTGTTGTGCATGTCTCTGAAAAAGCTGGGGCAGAAAAGCTAAGAGAGAAAATGAAAAAGAAACTAGAAACAAATGCAGCAAAATGTGTCAAATTAACCAATATGTCGGAGCAGCTGCAGCTTCTGCTGATCCATGAACAATAGTACCTGCAAAACCTAGTAAAATTAGTGAAATTATTCCTATTATATAATGCGATTATGTGACTTATTATTGCTATATTTCTGTGTTTTCCATATAGTACTGCACTGTTTTGACCAATCATTGTGGGCCATTTGGACAAGAAATGCCAGAGCTGACTGTTTTGTCCTGGTCCGGACCTGATGCAATGCAACACCTTAACAAAGTACACAGGGCGTACTGACTATATAAGCAGCAGAAGGGTACAAGACATCGGTACAGAGAATCAGGAAAATACAATGGTAAAGAAAGGAAGCATCGAAACAAGAAGGATGTACAACCAGAAACGGCTTAACAGGTCTGAAAGAAAGTGACTGGACTTCCTTTTTTTTTTTCTTTCATGAAGACCATTCACCTCTCATCCCGAGCCTTTTTATTTAAAAATTTGCCATGGAAAAAAATAAAGAGTGCTAAAGAAAACAGGTCAGAGAGTTCAACATGATATTATGCTTTGTATGTTTAAATAAGAAATGCAGATTTGTCCTTAATGCCAGTGCACTTTTTTTTCTCCACACATTCTTTCCCACTCTCTTCAGGATGCATTCTCACCCCCCAGCTGTGGTCAGTACCGATCAGTTACACTGATGTTTGTGTCTGTGCGTGTTCTGTGTTGTGAAGCTTGACTCACATATCTTTAATACATTTAAAGACATGACATTGTGACTGTCAGCTTGACCTAAAACTCGTATATGATTGTAATTCCCATGTCCCCAAGAGATGACTGAACAAAGAGAGGATCCAATTTCTGTATGTTATCTCAGAACCTGAACTGTCTCCAAGACCAGTAGACTACATTAAGACCCGCAGCACCATTCTATGGATTTAGACCACTGTGCTACTTCAAATGTTTTGAATAAAATAAAGGAGAATATAACTGAACTTCAACACTACAGTAACAAATTTCACCTGAGGATTTACTTTAGGTGATGCACAGTATGGGTATTTCTGAGACAAAAACAAAGCAATTTTCACCTCAGCAGGGGTGATTCATGAGGACAGAAATTCATCTGCAGCTGTTCCAAGCTGAAGTGTAATGTATTGTCCTCTACTACAGAACATGCCACCTCAAACAGTGCATCACACAGTCACATTATAACAAGTCAAAGAAGAAAGAGTCATATATGCGTGCGTGCGTGTGTGTGTGCGTGCGTGCGATCCTCAAACTCAGGTTGTCATGGCCGTTTGAGAGTTTTGTGCAGTCTTTTGGTTGATCCTAGGAGGGCACTGGTCTGAACAGAGACCTCTGATATGGTTCTCTTCTGCACTTTGTCATCCACTATATCTGGTTGGTTGGCCAACAGCTGCTTGTCTGTCTGGAACTGGAAGTTCCACAGGTGCTTCCCTGTTGCTCTCAGCCACCTTTGGTGGTATCTTTTCTGTCACTTCTAAACTATATGCGGCACAGATGTTTCTGTATTCTAAGTGCATTATTCCCATATGCTTCAATAAGACAGTCATAGTCCATGTTCCACAGAAACACCAGCTCATCAGCTTTAATGACTATCAGCCCATAGCCCTTATTCATCAAAACTTTCATCACATCCTCCCTGCCTGTCACCATGGACCGTCTACTATTTGCACACCGCCCCAGCAAATCCACAGATGACACCATTGTCCACTTGCTCCTCTCCATTTTTGCCCACTTGGACACAATGAAAGGGGCTTATTCTAGACTGCTATTTATAGATTACAGTTCAGTATTTAACATGATATTTCCCTTCAGGCTGGCAAATAACTGAGTGACCTTAGCTTGGAGATCCCATGTAGTTGGATCCTAAGTTTCCAGACTTGGTGATCATACTGGCTGACCACCAAGTGGCTTCTCACCTTCAGCACTGTACTCCCCCAAGATTTTGAGTTGAGCCTTCTTCTCTACTCCCTCTCCCTATGACTGTGTGGCTGCGTCATCACCATCTGAAAGGGCAGCTGCACCTGATGGACCACTTGACCTTCAGCAGGATAGTCCATTCACCTGAGAGAAGTGCCAACCCCAGCCGTCACATTGAGCAGGTCATAATCATCCAGGCGGATCATAAGGGATTCCAGTCACTCTAACAGAAGACTGTTCTCTATGCTCCCATCAGGGAGACACTACCATGTGCTCTGATTGATTGATTGATTAGCATTCAAATATCTCAGTGAATACAGAATAAAGATTACCACAAAGCAAGAAAGCACGAGAAAAGGCTAATCAAAAGGTATTGGCTGAAGCATATGCTTATTACGCCAACCCTTTTAACAAAAGATTTTTTAGCATGCAGCTCATATACATAGGGCTCGAAGCAAAGAGTAAAAGAAAACAAAGAAAACAAAGCAAACAAACAAAAACAAAACAAACAGACATCAAAAAAAACTTTCCACCTCAGATGAGTAACTACATTAACTTAAATTTCATTAAAATAATCAAAGCAAAATAAGCAAGAGTTTCAGTATTATTATTTTGGCTCCTTTCATTCTTGATTTATATATTTTTCTAATACTCTATTTTTAAACACATTTTTAAACAAGGAAAATGAACTACAACTTTTTAATCACTGTCATAACTACTCACAAGTTAACTCCTCTAACAGAAACACATCTCTGCTTTATGTTTGTACTTATCTTGTTTTTCTAAAGAAATCTGTTCCCCTTAAGTCATATTGACTCTCTGTGACTTTAAACAGCTTCTGAGTACTGCGGCAAAGCAAGTTATTTTGTGCTTTATACATTACCTGTGCCATTTTATATTCAACTAAATCATAAAATTTCAGGGTATTCAGATTAATAAACAAAATGTTAGTTGGTTCTATGTACTTTGATTGATTTATAATTCTTATAGCTCTTTTGTAACTTGAAACTAGGAAGAGTATTTGTTTTATATGCATTACCCCATATCTCTAGACAATAAGTCATATATGGAAGCAACAGTGCTGGCTATGAAGACAGTAAGAAGGAAGTAATACTCCTAGACCATCAGGGCAAGTTCACCTGACCCACTATCTACCACTAGTCAACTAAGTCCTTGACTATAGTTGTGATACTAGTTAGGTAAGTTAGTGAATATTTGAATAAATAACTAAATAAATGAAATTCATCTCCATTTGTCTTCTTCAGTGTCTTCTTTATTTGTGTACAGGTGGACTTTTACATATGCATTTAAATGCACTTTATATTTATACAATGATATATGTGGCAAATAAATCTGAATTTGAAAAAAAAAATGTTGAAAAAGAATAACATGGTCTCTATTTACATCCTTTATATAAAATCTATGGTTTCATCCCAAGAAAGCTGTGTTCAATGCATTTTGACAAACACTTCACGAGGTACCTCGAGAACAATGAAAACTGTCATCTGAGCAGAATTTTCACTAGATCCCACAAAAGTAGTCGAGTCAGGAACACCTTTTTTAGCTTGAGGTGGTCTCTGCACAGTTTTTACAACACACACTGTGTTCTTTCAAACATGATGTTGGACAACAGAATGAATGTATAAGTATTATCTTCCCTCATACTTCAAAAAAGAGCTCAGCCTTAGGGAATAACCCACACTTGGTATCATGGGAAAAGCAAAATGTAAGGGCTCTGATACCCTCAACTGAAACTTGAGGATGGTATTCCTTCACCTCCATTGCATGCATGTTAGTCTTTTATTGCAGTATAAAAGGCAACAGGTACGATGCAAACTAATTTCCCATGCAATCCACTAGAGAAGCAATGAATGTTGCCATATTGCCTGAAAGAGTAAATGAAAGTATTTTTGGTTGTTTTGTTTTGTCTTCTCTTGCAAGTTTTAGTCTAACCTATAGGTGAAATAAACAAAAAAGCTTTGAATCCAGTAAGGCAACTGAGAGATAGCTCTAAATCAGCTCTAAGTTCATCTTGCACTGTACCAAGAACCTAAGGGCATTGGGTTGAACATTCTGTAAAGGTTCTGATGAAAGGTTGCTCTGCTGTGAGATTAATGGCTTTTATGGTCAGCCCATATTATTCTGCCTCAGCAAGAGCTAGGCTATTTAAAAAAATGTTGTTGTTTTTTTTTACTGAAACCCCCCCACCCCTCCAAAAAAAAACCCAAACAAACTGGAAAGTGTTAGTTCAATTCTGGCAATTAGAGAGGTCAGGATTTATCCTGGGCAATAAAATCTGGCTCACAGCCAATTTTACCAGTTTTTACAAGAGTTTGGGTTTAGGTCAGAGGAAGCCAGGTCAGCACAAACCTCTTTTAGCAATACTTTTTCACAATTATTTTCAAATAACTTGGTAGATATGCTATTCTCTTGAGATTCAGTGTTACTCGAAAAAACAATCAAACAATGCAAAATGGAACGACTTTATGCCCTTTCTACATGTAGATGCACGACCTTGTATGAACTGAGGATGAGAGATGTGTGAAGGTTTTGGCCTTACTACTGTAGAATGTTGTTGACTCTTGTGAAAGCACAATGGGACACAGTACTGTGCCAGCTTGGCAACCTGCTATTTTGATCAGACTTCGGTAGGTGTTAAATTATATGACAGTCATGTGTGGGGGTGAGATTGTGTGAAATAAACTTTCAGAGTGAGCTAGAGGTGAAAAAAAAGAGAAAAAAACGGACGAAATGCTGACAAGTGCTAGTTGTTTTTAAGTGATCCAAATGGCTGTGATGATGTGATCTCATATTCTGTTCCAAGGACGGTCATAGAAACACACGGCAGTAACGAGTAATATGATCTTCCAGAATGCTAGTTAAATAGTTCACTCATTTGTTATTTAGTTCTGAGAAGCAGCTATGTCATGTGGCTGTTGTATAGAAAAAGCCCAATGAATGAAAAACTAGAATAAAAAGGATTTTACATGCTGCAACAAACATGAATCAATTTTATTGGAATTCCATGTGAAAGACCAATACAAAGTGTTGTACACGTGAGAAGTGGAACGAAAATCATACATGATTCCAAACATTTCTTACAAATAGATAACTGCAAAGTGGGATGACAGAAGTTGGAGTCACTTGATTTAAATTTTAACTGGCACAATTTGCTTCTGGCATAATTGTCAGTCAGCATGGAAGCTGAGGTTGCAGAGGTTTAAAATGTTATGTTTTAGTTAATCTATTATATCTAATAATCTTTCCCCCCCCCTCAAGGAGATAGTGACTATTAACAAAAACAAAACATTTGAGCACTTTAAAGCTTCAGAAAACATATATATATATGTGTGTGTATATGTATATATATATATATGTATATATATATATATATGTATATATATATGTATATATGTATATATATGTATGTATATATATACAGTGGGGCAAAAAAGTATTTAGTCAGCCACCGATTGTGCAAGTTCCCCCACCTAAAATTATGACAAAGGTCAGTAATTTGCACCAGAGGTACACTTCAACTGTGAGAGACAGAATGTGAAAAAAAAATCCATGAATCCACATGGTAGGATTTGTAAAGAATTTATTCGTAAATCAGGGTGGAAAATAAGTATTTGGTCAATAACAAAATACAACTCAATACTTTGTAACATAACCTTTGTTGGCAATAACAGAGGTCAAACGTTTACTATAGGTCTTTACCAGGTTTGCACACACAGTAGCTGGTATTTTGGCCCATTCCTCCATGCAGATCTTCTCGAGAGCAGTGATGTTTTGGGGCTGTCGCCGAGCAACACGGACTTTCAACTCCCGCCGCAGATTTTCTATGGGGTTGAGGTCTGGAGACTGGCTAGGCCACTCCAGGACTTTCAAATGCTTCTTACGGAGCCACTCCTTTGTTGCCCGGGCGGTGTGTTTTGGATCATTGTCATGTTGGAAGACCCAACCTCGTTTCATCTTCAAAGTTCTCACTGATGGAAGGAGGTTTTGGCTCAAAATCTCACGATACATGGCCCCATTCATTCTGTCCTTAACACGGATCAGTCGTCCTGTCCCTTGGCAGAAAAACAGCCCCATAGCATGATGTTTCCACCCCATGCTTCACAGTAGGTATGGTGTTCTTGGGATGCAACTCAGTATTCTTCTTCCTCCAAACACGACGAGTTGAGTTTATACCAAAAAGTTCTACTTTGGTTTCATCTGACCACATGACATTCTCCCAATCCTCTGCTGTATCATCCATGTGCTCTCTGGCAAACTTCAGACGGGCCTGGACATGCACTGGCTTCAGCAGCGGAACACGTCTGGCACTGCGGGATTTGATTCCCTGCCGTTGTAGTGTGTTACTGATGGTGACCTTTGTTACTTTGGTCCCAGCTCTCTGCAGGTCATTCACCAGGTCCCCCGTGTGGTTCTGGGATCTTTGCTCACCGTTCTCATGATCATTTTGACCCCACGGGATGAGATCTTGCGTGGAGCCCCAGATCGAGGGAGATTATCAGTGGTCTTGTATGTCTTCCATTTTCTGATGATTGCTCCCACAGTTGATTTTTTCACACCAAGCTGCTTGCCTATTGTAGATTCACTCTTCCCAGTCTGGTGCAGGTCTACAATACTTTTCCTGCTGTCCTTCGAAAGCTCTTTGGTCTTGGCCATGGCGGAGTTTGGAGTCTGACTGTTTGAGGCTGTGGACAGGTGTCTTTTATACAGATGATGAGTTCAAACAGGTGCCATTCATACAGGTAACGAGTGGGGGACAGAAAAGCGTCTTACAGAAGACGTTACAGGTCTGTGAGAGCCAGAGATTTTCCTTGTTTGAGGTGACCAAATACTTATTTTCCACCCTAATTTACGAATAAATTCTTTACAAATCCTACCATGTGGATTCATGGATTTTTTTTTCACATTCTGTCTCTCACAGTTGAAGTGTACCTCTGGTGCAAATTACTGACCTCTGTCATCATTTTAAGTGGGGGTACTTGCACAATCGGTGGCTGACTAAATACTTTTTTGCCCCACTGTATATATATATGTATATATATATATGTATGTATATATATATATATGTGTGTATATATTAGGAGTGCAACAATACTCGTATCGATATTGAACCGTTCGATACAGTGCTTTCGGTTCGGTACGATATGTATGAATAATATATAATATTTTTAATTTATTTATTATCAACTTTCCTTCTGACGATGCTGTCTGTGTTGAGCGCTCAGTGGATCTGCGCTCGACAGTGCAGCCTAGGCGGAATAGTCCAACGCAGATTCACTGAGCGCAGGGCAAGCTAGCGAAACAGAAGTTAAGCTCTCCTTGCAAC